TCTTATAATAAAACATTCTTAAAAATGTTTAATATAAGTATTTCACCAGAAAGATCCTTCCGTTGCTTTCGTATACGTATCTTTAGATGTTGGTACTCTCTCGTCCACGAACTGTGTGTTTCTCAATTTTTCTGTGACCCTCCAGGTGTAAAGTAAACGTGTTCTGTCTTTATCCAAACTTAAATTATGTATGTAATTTGCTTTAATACAAAATACATTTTACTGATGATAGAAAACAGAAAAAAATATTTATTTGACTAATTAAAATTTGTTTTTGGCTTAACTTGAATATTCAAATTGCCTCCCACCTGCCTCTTAGCAGTATTTGAACTGATGAGGACAATCTTCTTGAACGTTATGGATCATATCTGGAGTTATATTACGAATTTCTAATATAATTATATTTTTTATATTTTATAAATTTTGTGGTCAATCGATGTAAACTTTGATTTTAAGTAACCCCAAAAGAAAAAATCAAATGATGTAAGATCTGGAGATCTTGGGGAGGATCCATTTGCTGCAGTTTTGCCGATTTACTGTTCCATGTAAACAGAAGATTGCTTCATAAAAAAAAAAGGATTTGGCGAATACATCGTGGATTTTGAATACATAAATCTTGCATTATTTCGCAAAACCATAGTCGGTGATATGAATAATTCAATAATTCTCATTGAAGTCCTGGACGTTATAAATTTTATACGGATGATATATTTCTTTTTTTAATATACGTAAAACAAACCAATTAGAAATGTTTGTATCAGCTCAGTTGCAATTTGCCTTGAATTAATTTGAGGATTCTCTCTCACACGTAACAATACATCAAGGCTTATTGCCATTGGTACACGACCAACATTTGCAACATATTTCACGTGTCAAGATTCTTTAAATTTCTTCTCAATTTTACTAACAATTGATAATCTATAATAGGCGTATTAAGATGTTTCATATTAAATAGTCCATGGGACATTTTTAAGGGGTCATTTTACCTATCATGAATCATATATAAATCAATACTACAATATGTAATAACAGATTTAGAAACTATGCCGTCAATTTTTATCAGTACAGGTGGCTACACTTCTTCTCTTCTTCTTAGCCTTCTGTCGTCCATGCTTGGACATAGGCATCTCCCAAATCCTTCCATCTGTCTATCCTCAGCAACATATTTCCAATTTGTTCCGGCTATTCTTTTAATGTCATCAACCCATCTCATCTGTGGTCTTCCTCTCGGTCGTTTAACTTTCGTAAGGTCTCCAATGTTGTATTGTAGTATTTCAACGTTGGTCTTTCTGTCTAGCAGTGTGCCCGCGAAGCTCCATTTAAGTTTGGCAATTTTTATTGTTATGTCCTCCGACTTTTGTTTTGGATCTTACCCAGTCGACTCTTTTTATCTGACAGAGTCGTATAACTAACATTGCTCTTTCCATTGTTCTTTCTGTTGTGGCTAGTTTATTCATGTTTGCCTTGGTTAGGTCTAGGTTTTGACATCCATATGTCATGATAGGAAGATGCATTGGTTGAACACTTTGCTCCTCAAGTTATTTGGGGCTATTTTGCGGTTCTTAAGTATCCAACTAAGTTTTCCAAATCCTGCCTTTGCTAGTCTTGATCTCTAGTAATTTCCACACTTTGGTTCTCTTTGTCAAGTCCTCACGGATTTGGCCTAGGTAGATATATTCCATGGATTTGTTCTATCTCACTGCCGTTTATAGTTATATGTTTGGGGTCTTCTGTGTTTGTCATTATTTTTGTTTTTTTTATATTTCATTTTTAGGCCGACGTAATCGGAGCTGGTGCTAGTTCCATCCAAATTATTTGCAGTTCCTAGATGTGCTCGCATATATCCTTGTCGTCAGCGAATCTGAGGTGGTTTAACTTGTTACCATTAACGTTAAAGCCACAGGTTGACCAATTTGTAGTTTTGAAGACGTCTTCTAGGGCTAGGTTGAAAAGCTTTGGCGATATTACGTCTCCTTGTCTCACTCCTCTCTTAATGGGGATGGGATTTGTATTTTCGTCTAGTTGTACTATCATAGTTGCATTTTTATATATATTATGTGTTAGTTGCCTATATCTCGAATCTATTCTACAATTATTAATAGCTTGTTCTATGGCCCACATCTCGATACTATCAAATGCCTTTTCATAGTCGACGAAGGTAAGAAATACGGGTAGTTGGTATTCATTTGCCTTCTCTATCAATGTTCTCATTGTCAGCAGATGGTCTGATTACTATAACCTTTGCGGAAGCCAGCCTGTTCAACCGGTTGGTAATTATCCATTTTGTAGGTTAACCGGTGATTAATAATTCTCATAAATAGTGTGTATACTTGACTGAGCAACGATATAGGTCTATAATTCTGTAGATCACATTTGTCCCTTTTTTGTGTAAGAGTATTACTAGACTCTCGTTCCAGTCTTTAGGGATCTGGCTATTATGGAGACATCTATTAAATAGCTCTGTTAATACAGGATTGTTAATGTCTTGCTTGTTTTCAAGAGCTCGGCAATTATACCGTCATGTCCTGGAGCTTTATTATTTTTTAGTTCTTTTAAAGCTCTTTCTACTTCTTATCCCTTTTATATTGGTAGTACTTCTGATCCCCACGTTTTTATTATTTTTCTTTTGACGTTCTCCTTTGTTGTTTCATTAGGCTGGCCTTGCGAGGTGTATAAGGATGTGTAGAAGTCTTCGACAATATTTGTTATTTTATATTATCCTTCTCTACTTATTGTTGGCGTCTTTAATTTGATGATTTTTTGAACTCCCAGTGCGGGTCTTAGACATCTTAAGCCTCTGTTGTTTTCAATGACTCGCTCTATTAAGTTCTCGTTCCATGTTTGTATGTTGCGTTTTAGTTCTTTTCTGATTGTTTTATTAAGTTCTCTATATTCTTGAGTATGGCATTTGTTTTGCGCTAGTAGTTGTCTTCTTTCCATCATTAGCTGTTTAGTTATCATTGCTTATTTTGTCTTCTTTAGTCCTTGTTTTCTTTGCGACCTGTAGTCCTGCTGCGAGAAGGTTTTTATTTAGGTTTTTATTAATCTCGTCAATTTGATCTTGATTATGTGAAGGATCAGATTCGAACTTATCCGCTAAGACCTCTCGGAATTGCTCTTCATTTGTTTTTAGTTTAAAGGCATCTATCCTCGTTGTTTTTTTTTAATCCTTTTTCTCTCTTCTTTCATGCTAATATTTATTTTTGCTCTGACTATACTATATTTGCTCTGATTATAGGTGGCTACACAGGTTAGTTAAACTTACCACTCAAGATTAAAGTAATTTGGTCTAACATTTTTGTACGGCATTGATAACTAGGTAGGTAATACAAAAATAATGGCCTGAGACCTAATGCCGTACAAAAATATTGATACTAGTAGCAGAGACAATCTACGATTTTCGGAAAATTTTAACCCAATTTTGGTAATTTCATACAGTACGGCATTCATACACATAGTTTCGGATCGTTATTTACTGTAAGCGCCGTACATATCGGCTGGTACAGGGGTGAAAAATCTAGGGAGCAACTTTTGAGCCAATATGAAACTCACTGATTTAAATTTAGTTGCATAAAATAATACCATTTTTGGATATGCCGTACATTTTTCACGGTACATGTGCTTATGAGAGGAAAATTGATTTCCCTCTGATAAGTGAAATATTACGATCAAAAATTTCTGTACGTGCATTGATATATTTTCTTATTATTGACATTAATTATTAACAAAAACAAAATGCCGTACAAAAAATGGTTCTAAATGGCTTTAAAGTATTATAATAGTCCAGGTTGTGAGGCCGTTCCCGTAGGAAAAATGTTTTTTTTCCGATTTATTTACTGATTCCTGTCAAAAAATGTTCCCTTTAATAATACAGAGGAGTGTCGGGTAAAAAATTGTTTAAACAGTTTTTTAAAACAAATTCCAAGAATATCCTATTTTTGCACCGAGAAACATGTTTTGGGTTTCTTGGGTCATTTTTAAACAAAAAAAGTCTATTGTCATTTTTCTCCTAAAGTTAATAGTTTTCAAGTTATAAGCAATAAAAAGCGAAAATACTAACTTTCGAGGCTGGAAAACTTATGAAAATTATTATTTTTCAAGTTGCCAAGTACCTAAATTGAAGAACAGTTTTGAGAGGGTCTATTAAATTTGTTGTGTTCTTTTCATTACCAAGAAATTTATCTTAATAAGACAATTAATAATAATAAGTTTTGTGGTGGCGCCAAGGTAATAATGCCATAGGAATAGTGTTAGATATAACGGTCGTTTTTATCGTATTTTTACAAGTGATTAAGAACCCTTAAGGGACGGATTGTGGTCTGGGCAACCTAGGCATGTACCTAGGGCCCGTAATTTTTAGGCCCCAAAAATTAGGTTTTTGATTTTTTAATGTTTATAATAAATTTTATACTTTTACTAAACACAAAAACGGGATATTCACAAAAAAATCCTACAAAAAGATCTTAGAAAGTGAACGGCAGCAAAAATAAACGCTAAAGGGGAAAACAGGGAAAAAAGTAGAAAAGGAGGTCGAGCTTCAATATTAGGACCTTAAACAAGGAACCTTGTCTAAGATTAGGAAGTAGGTCTTCTAGCCACGCGTGTGTGGATGAGGTGAGGGTAGTTTTAGTTGGTAGGCAGGGCATCATGGTCGCACCCGAGGGCACGACTTCCAAGAGGGGAAATCCTGTTACTCTAAACTCAACACAAGTCCTTAGAAGATTTTACAGCCTGAAATATTGAGGGTACGTCGCTTGCCTAGTAGGATAATGATCCAAAGTGATTGAACGGCGGCGGCGACAATAAACTTCTAAATAAAGTTAAATGAATAAAAGTTTATATTAAACCATATTTTGTTTATATTATTTATTAATGAAGTTTAAACTTTAATAATTATATCAAACTAAATTGACCACAACAATTTTATTTAATTAGGAAAACAATTCAAATTCAAATTTCAACTAAAATTATATAACAAATTATATACACTTATATTATCCCTATAATTATAACAATAATGTTTTATTTTGATAAAGGAAGTATATTGCACGTAAATAAAATAAACAAGTAGTCCCTATTAAAACTTAAATCCAAAAGTATTATTCAGTTGAGAAAAGGCAAATCCTTGTTCGCTGAAAGGCATTTCAGATCCTTTTTGATTATGCTCTTGCAACACACTCGTATTGAATTCTGGACTCATTGGGAAATCATCTAAAATAATATAAACGATAATACTATATTTTCGGGGAATAAGATAAGGAATTACATTAATTTGTTGGGGTTCATTTATAATAAACAGAATAGTTTTGTCCAGTCAATTATTATAGTGTGATTTTTGTGATAGTCAATAGTAAAAAGTAAAAGATTGCATTTCATTTCAATCGGAACTCCACCATTGCTCTACAAGTGTTTCGAGCTATTCAACTCATCATCCAGGAACACTTGTGGAAGTTCAACTGAAATGAAATGCAGTCTAGTATTTGGTTATTATAACCTAAATAACAGCCAGGTACGCTAGCAGCGACATCTATACAAAGTAACAAGAAGTCGAGAGCTCTCTCTGATAGCAAATTAGATGAACCGCAAATTGCTTGGTCACCTGTTATGACTGGTTGAGAAGTCTACGTCTATTTATTACCTCCCTGCAAAATTTCACTATTATGACAATAACCGTTCAAAAGATACGAGGGGGGAAACGGACTTTTGACTAGCACTTTGACTTTGTATATATATATATATATATATATATATATATATATATATATATATATATATATTTATATATATATATATATCGCAAAAAGGAGTACGACCGTCTATCCAATATATAATAAGGATCACTCAGACGAGTGGTGGGTTCAAATATCGGTCTACTAGGTGGAGAAATAAAAGACAAAGTTGATACTACTTCATCTATTTTGAAGACGTTTCGCTATCGAATTCTGATAGCATCATCAGTTCGTCTAAAAATTTTACATTATGAGAACCACACATTCATGAAGAAGATGTTAAATAGTTACCTTAAAAAGATATGTAGTTGTCAATGGTATTAAAAAGATAGTACAAAAACTCAAATAAATGGACATCATATGGTGATATTGTATAAACAAAACAACATTTAGAGACTTAGTAAAAATTAGCAAAGCAACAGAACATGTGGTCTAATAAGCATATAATATTTTATATAATATTAACTAGTGAAAAAGAACTAAGAAAATCATCGATTCACTTCCAACTATGCAAAAAAATTTTATTTTTTGACTTCATCTTAACTTTTGGTAGCATTATTTAAGTTATCTAAATTGAGATATAAAATATATATATAAAAAAAAATCGCAACAGGTGCCAAGCATACAGTGGTAACTTCACTTTATATTTTTTTTGCTTCACTTTTATAAGGTAAAGTCATAAAATAAAAATTTTTTGCATAGTTGGAAGTGAATCGATGATTTTCTTAGTTCCTTTTCACTAGTTAATATTATATAAAATATTATATGCTTATTAGACCACGTGTTCTGTTGCTTTGCTAATTTTTACTAAGTCTCTAAATGTTGTTAGTTATTTAATTGTTTATACAATATCACCATATGATGTCCATTTATTTGAGTTTTTGTACTATCTTTTTAATACCATTGACAACTACATATCTTTTTAAGGTAACTATTTAACATCTTTTTCATGAATGTGTGGAACGTCTTCAAAATAGATGAAGTAGTATCAACTTTGTCTTTTATTTCTTCACCTAGTAGACCGATATTTGAACCCACCACTCGTCTGAGTGATCCTTATTATATATATATATATATATTATATATATATATATATATATATATATATATATTATATATATATAATCTTTAAGTAACTACTGTCCGGTAGGAGAACCGGGAACGAAGTCTTAGTGTAACTAGTGTCTACTAGGCCGCTATACTGTAAATTCCGCTTTGATTCAAGCTTTTATAGGGAAAAACAACCGCCAATTTTCAACTGTTATAACGAACTTTAACGGTTTTAACGAACTTTACATGTCCCAAATTGTGGGTTCTGAAAAACCACTTTTTTATACATTATGAAGAAACTGGATCAAAACAAAACAACTAAAGATTTATGGCCTTTTTACGAGTTCTGATAACGAACATAAGTTGACCCAATTTAAGGTAGACGAAAAACTTGCTTTTTGTAAGTAATTAGCAAGGCGGTTGATGCTAGCAAAAAGCATTCATGGGCAGTTGTGATCGTAAAAATATTAATTTTCTATATTGAAAAAGGAGGAATTGGCGGTAAAATAATATCTAAATTTGTTTGGATATTAAAATAAGCAACGTGTTTTAACAGGAGTCCACGAAAAGCAAACAAGACAAAAAACTTGTTTTATTTGAGTTGAGATATATCGAAACTAAATAGAACATATATATGTGTCTTAGTAATGATTGTAACAAAATAATATTAAATATAAAATTATATAATAATAAAAGGATTATTGGTGATATGTTAAAACTTACAAATTCAAAGCAGTTACAAAGATTGAAGAATTATTCCATAATTCTAGAGAAGACAATGGTTATGAATCCAACATGAATCGAGACAGGTCCAGATGTAATGGAGTCAGAGGTGCAATAAAATCTTTAAAAATTCGTAAAACTGAAGGTCCTGCTATGATCCCATGTGAATTAATAAAGTTGATTGATAATCAAGCAATTAATGTACTAGTAGAATTATTAAATTTAATATACTCAAGAAGTACGAAAGATCACGAGAAATGATAACATCGAATTTCAGTTGTATAACGAAAAAGCAAAATTAAAAGAATGTAGCGACCACCGAACAATAAGTCTCATACCACACACTATTCTCCTCAAAATAATTCACTCCAGGCTTTACACATTAGAGTTAGAGTTGGATATACGTGAGACGCAATCTTGTCGGTACTAGAGAAAACTTATTTGCCTTCAACGTACTCACTTAAAGGTGTTTTGATGTTAATCAGAACCTTTATATTTGCTTTATAGATTTTAACAAAGGTTTTGATAAGGTTTACCATGATCAACTTCCAGTTTGACCACTTACCATGATCAACTGGAAATTCTTACGATGAAAATCTTGACCAATGGTATTTATGGTTAATTGGAACTTTATATTATAGCCAGCAGGCCATAGTAAAAATCTAAATTGAAACATCCCGCTGAAATCATTATGATTTTCAAGCCAGGAAAGGAGCCCAATGAAGTAACATCTTATCGATCCATCAGCATACTCCCTACCGTAAGTAAAGTTTTTGAAAGATTTTTTCACAGAGAACCAAAACATTAGTTTGGTTTTCGGGAAAATCAATTTGGTTTTCGGGAAAATCAATTCACTAGAAAACAAGTCCATCGAATGATAAATGAAATATCAAAAAGTATTTCAGAATAGAAATACTACAAAACACTTTACTCCTAGACATCTCATAAGCGTTTGACAAAGTCAAACGGAGTATATTTTTACTTTGTAAACACAGGTCTATTTACAAAGTAAAATAGCACTATCTAGTAACTATTTCCTCCAACTCAACCTACAAATCAAATCGATATTTCTCTGTAAAATTCAATGATCAACGATCCAATCTCTGTCCTATGAGTTTAGGAGTCCCGCACGGTAGTGTTCTAGGGCAGCTGTTTTTCTTATTCTTCACAGCCGATATATCAAAGACTATAAATATATAATGTATATAATATATAATATGTTAAGTATTATATATTATATATTATATATTATATATTATATATTATATATTATATATTATATATTATATATTATATATTATATATTATATATTATATATTATATATTATATATTATATATTATATATTATATATTATATATATATTATATATTCTATATTATATATTATATAATACTACAATCGCTTCCTTTGCTGACGATGTAACAATAATAAGATGTAAATGAAGATCCCATACAAGCCTCACCAAACTGCAATATCATCTGCACATACTCAGTGATTAGTACACAAAATGGGGAACAAAAGTAAACAAAACAAAATCAACTCAAATAAAATTTACCAGCAGCCACAATACATGCCTACCTATAAGAATAAAAATTTTAAGAACACCTACGGTAACAGACGTTAGATACCTTGGCCTCCATCTGGATCAATGTCTCACTTGAAAGAAACATATCCAGACCAAAAGAAGACTTAAAATTCCGACAAATGTATCGGCCCCTTGGACGTAAATCAAAACTTAACATCCAAAACAAAATTTTTCTATACAAAGCCATACTCGAACCTATGTGGTTCTACGGACTACACCTATGGGGCTGTGCAAAGCCAACGTGGCTGAATATCATCTAAAGATTCCAGTCTAAAGTTCTGATATCGATAGTGGATGCACCATGGTACTTAAGTAATCAAAAATATTATATATGACATGTTATACATGGCTTAAAGGTTCCTTTCACCAGAGAAGAAATCCAAAGAGCCACGGAGTCACAAAATGAACGTACCATTTACCATAAAAATGAGCTAGTAAGGGAATTATTTAACAATTATCCAGCCACAAGAAGACTAGATAACACCTGGCCCCAGTGATCATCATTTTGGCTTTACAACCCTGTGTGGGTCCTAGCCTCCTCAATAATTCTCTTCCAGTCGTCCCTATCCATCTCCTTCCTCCGCCAAGCACGTATTTCCGTATTTCTCATATCTTGGTCTATGTTATCTAGGAATCTTGTTCTGGGTCTTCCTCTTCTTCTTTGACCAATAGGTCTATCAAGGAGCGTTTTTCTAGCTGGGTCGGTTTGCTTCATCCGCATTATATGGCCTACCCACCTCAGACGTCCTATCTTAATGTGTTTTATGATATCTGGTTCCTGGTATATTCTATAGAGTTCGAAGTTGTATCGTCTTCTCCAGACACCATTTTCATTTACCGTCCATAGATTCGCTTTAGTATTGTTCTTTTGAAACATCCTAACATGTTTTCATTGCTTTTTGTTAAAGTCCAGGTTTCTGAACCGTATGTTAGGACTGGGCGTATTATTGTTTTGTAGAGTTTTACTTTTGTATTTCTTGATATAACTGTAGATTTAAAAAGGAGATTAAGGCCAAAATAGCATCTATTAGCCGTGCAAATTCTGCTGTTTATCTCTGCGGTAGTGTCATTTTCAGTATTGACGAGCGTTCCCAGGTATACAAATTCGTTAACTGCTTCGATGACGTCGTTTTCTATAACAAGTGGCCGTCGTATTTCTGGTTGCGGACCTATTTTCATGTATTTCGTTTTATTAATGTTTATTATTAAACCCATTTTTTTAGCCGCTTCCTTTAGCGCTACCATTGAACTCAATGAGCGCTACATACGCCTCTCGTGCTGCATTTTCCGTTCTCCCAACAATATTGATATCATCGGAATATGCTAGAATTTGCACAGATTTGTTATATATTGAACCGGTAGTTGTGATTTGTGACGTACGTATTACTTTTTCCAGAGCTACATTAAGTAGTAGGGTGAGTCTCCTTGACGTAGCCCGTTATTTGTATTAAAAGGTTCAGAGAGTTCCCCTGGATTCGTACTCTGCATTCAACTTTTTTAAGGGTTAGTTTGGTTAGACTTACCAACTGATTTGGTACTCTCAGGTCTATCATTGCTCTAAACAATTCTTTTCTATTTACAGAGTCGTAGGCTGCCTTGTGGTCTATAAATATGTGGTGCGTGTCTACACCGTATTCCAGCGTTTTCTCTAGAATTTGTCTCAGGGTTGAAATCTGATGAATTGACCTGGCCCCAATACCTACTTCAATACTAAACCAAAATAGAATTAGGTAAGACAGTATTGTATGTTTCTTCTTCACGCCCAAAATCAGTAACACATTTACTTAATACTCTGTAATGATGTAGACAGTAAATAAATATAATTATAATAAAAAAAACATACCGCAAAATAAAAATAGAAAGGGGACTGAAACAATTAGTGAGAGAGCATTACACTTCTGCTCCTCGATATCTCTACCCCTAAAAAATTGAATTTCATCACCTGATTTATAATGTACCATACAATATATTGTGTTTTTCACATGAAATTTGCATATCTAGTGTTTGTGCTGCTAGGTTAAACCTGTAGAGGTGTCGTTGTAAGTCGTCTTGAGACAATTTTGCCAGGTTAAAGTAATTCCTAGATCTCAAAGATAAAAAGGATGAAAATATATGAAATTTTTTTATTCGACTATAGTAAAAATAATAATTATTTGGATGAGGTACTTACCCGCGGGACTTGGCATAAATCCTGTAATATTTGCAAAATTATATTGACTCCCATTTAATTCTAACATTTTACTATCGTCCCTGTTTTGTTGAGAAAATTCTGCTCCATAATTTTTCATATCCAACGACATATTAACTAAAAAGAGGATACTTTTTTTAGAATATTTTTATAAAAATTTGATGAAGATATAATTTAAAAAAATTATGGAGGTGACCAGATTTGTATGAACTAGAGAGAAGAATCATTCGATAACCCTCTCCACTGCAAAATTATCATTCAAGGATCACCATTAGTCTGCTGGTCTAAATATTTCGACCAAACTCGTTCGAAAACATAGAGAATCCAGAAGTAACAGACAATCGTGGTTAAGAAACATCCGATAATGGACAGGGCTAAATTTTGAACAGCTAATAAGAACACCTAAAGACAGGGAAGAGTTTTGCGATTCTAGTAAGCAATTTTCATTGAGGAGAGGGCACTTTAAGAAGAAGAAAAAGGGAAACCCATCTGAGAGTCCTAAGACCTTGTCGTTGTCGTGGTGGGTAGGCACTTCATGCTCGGTGGTTATAGCTAAAATTAGGATATCAGATGATGTTTCATTAACCTTCACCCATCATGCGGCGTTCTACATAGTGAAACCATCTATTCTCTAGCTTCTCGTACACAAAGGCTAGATCAGGAACAAATCAACAAAGCAAACAGATAATAGGGACAATATAGCCTTTATTTATTGAAAAATTATAAACTGGATCCCTTTATTCGCCATTAAAAATTAAAAAATTAAACAAAATAATAGAGAAGTAAAACATAAGTAATTACGTAAAGAGTTATCGGCAACGTTTGGGTAGTCATCCAATTTTTGTTTCTTGAAAGGAGTATTTCGAGTATTATTCTTATTTTCCTCAAAATGATACTGCTGTTTGTTAGAAGTCATGTCTAAAAAGATTATAAAAATAATTTTAAAATATGTCTTCTAAATCTGATATAAGATGTAAATGAACCACTATTAACTTAAAAGAAGTTAATAATTCTTACCTGATTGCGCCATAGAAAACGGCATATGGAATTCGTGTTTATCTCCTTCAATGATATTACCTTTATTGGTGTTAGAACTAAACAAAGTGCTGTTGTTGATATTTGAAGAGTTTTGAGTAATTTTATCCGGTTGAATTCCAAATTTATTTTCAAAAATTGAAGATTTTTCGTTATCGGGAGTTTTATGTGTTCCTTGAGGTGGAACTACAAAGTAATTTATGATACAATGAGCATAAATACATTATAACAATACATGGCTATTAAGATGTCTTAAGAAAAAATTATTTCCCCGGAATATAACGATTATACGGGTTAAGAGGGTAGTGTTTTTGCGTTTTTTTATTTTCTATTCAATAGTATTTCTATTCAAAATTTCAGAGTGATCGCAACAAAATTGATAGAATTATAGACATTTAGGAGTGAGTGAGGTGAGTGAGTGAGTTAAGTGAGTGAGGTGAGTGAGTGAGGTGAGTGAGTGAGGTGAGTGAGTGAGGTGAGTGAGTGAGGTGAGTGAGTGAGGTGAGTGATTGAGGTGAGTGAGTGAGGTGAGTGAGTGAGGTGAGTGAGTGAGGTGAGTGAGTGAGTGAGTGAGTGAGTGAGGTGAGTGAGTGAGGTGAGTGAGTGAGGTGAGTGAGTGAGGTGAGTGAGTGAGGTGAGTGAGTGAGGTGAGTGAGTGAGGTGAGTGGTGAGGTGAGTGAGTGAGGTGAGTGAGTGAGGTGAGTGAGTGAGGTGAGTGATTGAGGTGAGTGAGTGAGGTGAGTGAGTGAGATGAGTGAGTGAGGTGAGTGAGTGAGGTGAGTGAGTGAGGTGAGTGAGTGAGGTGAGTGAGTGAGGTGAGTGAGTGAGGTGAGTGAGTGAGGTGAGTGAGTGAGATGAGTGAGTGAGGTGAGTGAGTGAAGTGAGTGAGTGAGGTAAGTGAGTGAGGTGAGTGAGTGAGGTGAGTGAGTGAGGTGAGTGAGTGAGGTGAGTGAGTGAGTGAGGTGAGTGAGTGAGGTGAGTGAGTGAGGTGAGTGAGTGAGGTGAGTGCGTGAGCACTCATATAGAAATTGGAATAAGTTCAGTGTCATCTTCTTCTTGATGTGGCTATCCGTTACGAATGTTGGCGATTCCTTGCAGAATGGCTTGAAAGAGAGCATATCTGGATTCATTTCGCATAATGTGTTCGAAGAACTGCAACTTTCGAGATTTGATAATGGTCATTACCTCTCTGTTCTTATTCATTCTTCTGAGGACCTCCTCATTTGTGACTCGGTCAGTCCATAAGCGTTCTCCGATATAGCCACATCTCAAATGCTTCCAGTTTTTTGCACATATCTTCGTTCAAGGTCCACGATTCAACACCATGAAAAAGGACAGAAAAGGTGTAGCATCTCAGCATTCTTACTTTTGTATCAAGAGAGAGGTTATGACTCTTGAAGAAGGCCCCTATCCGATTGAAGGTGGATCTAGCTTTTCCGATGGGTGCTCTAATCTCCTGGTTGTTGGTCCATTCTTCATTTATTCTGGTGCCGAGGTAGTTGAAGTGCGTCACTCTTTCTACTGGGAATTGTTTGACGTAGAGTTGACCTTCTGTTATCCTTTTCTTACTAATTATCATAAGCTTTGTCTTCTTAACGTTTATATTGAATCCATATTATTGACTGTAATACGTGATTTTGTTCATAAGAACTTGTTGGTCTTCTAAGTTGTCCGCAAATACTATGGTGTCATCTGCATGCCTGATGTTATTTAGCCGGTAACCATTTAGTAGAATATGTTTTTCAGTTTTGTTTCAAAGCTTCGATAAATACTAGAAGTTCAATGTCAAGTTCCCATAATTATGCACTCGCGGCAGATAACAATCGAATTACTAGAGTGGATAAAATGGCTGCAGATACAACAAAAAAGGCAGAGTTCGTCGAAAGCGGAAGCAAAAAATGCTCTAGATACTTTAGCAGACAGCCCGTCGTTAAATGGACATGGGATAGACGATAGTGTGTGAGTATAAAAGAGATTTTTTTTAAACTTATTTTCTCGGAATGATTTTTTTCAAGACGGTGTTCACTGTATCTCAAAAACTACTTAATCTATCCTTCTCAAATTTTGCACACTTCTTTTATAGATAAATTGCTATGTCACAAAATCCGCTTCAACGGAAACCAAAAAACAGAATGGCTCTTCTTGACATAGAAAACGAGCTATATTGCCTCATTTAGTCAATATATGTAGAACATATTTAACGAATTGAACATTTCAAGTTTTAGCCGGTGAAAAGATGTCCAGGATCCAAGAAGTTCAGGAAAGTATGTATCGCCTATTTCATAAAACATTTTTGTTTCAGATTGACCCACAGATGCAAAAACTAATACAGACGTATACGCAAACAATATGACAATATATGCAGCAGCAAAAGAAGACAGAAGAATTGTCGAAACATTAGAAAATCATTTAAAAATAATCTCTGACTTCACGGATGAATTGAAGATAAAAATCAACGCGGAATAAACGGAGTTTATCATCTTCATGTAGCAACAAAATCCACCTGTAGTGGAACTCACGATGAAAGGAAACGTAATCCAAGAAGATTCTTTCAAGAACCTAGCAGTCCACTACGATAGAAAACTAAACTTGACGGAGAATACCCAAAAAATCAAGAAAAGAGCGAGTATAGCAAAAATACTAATTCAACCTTATAGTTTCAGGTCCAGCCTCCTAACTAAGGCCAAGAAGATTCAATTATACCAGGTCTATGTTAGATCGGTGATGTTGTATGAAGTCCCAGTTTCGAGTTCCAACGTAGAATCTAACTGGAAGAATTTGGAAAGAACAGAAACGGCATGTTTTAAATTAATCAACGGATCGGCATGTCAGGACATAATATTAATTGGCTTCTCTTTGAGAAAGACTCCAGTACACACGACTAAGGCAGTTGGCTGAGAACAGACAAGGTACTTCCACCACGCCACAAGAAGACTTCTTCAGACCAGAGACATCCTCAATAGAAACCGAATTAAGAATATGTACAGAGAAAAACACAGAATTAACCATCTAATCAGGGTCAAGCTAGGTGGTTGGCAAAGACCGCTAGTCAGGACAGCTAGTCAGGGGAGTAGGTACGATGCCGAATATAGCACCTACAGAAAAATATATCCAGGAGTCCAAAACAGGGAGAACTAGAAGATGAAGCGGTTCCCAAAGTACGCGGTGCAGAAGCGGAACATTAGCAAAAGAAGAAAAGAAGACTGAAACATTTTGTAAATAATATCTGTTGCGATTTTATATATCATTATATCAAGGTAATAAGCGTTTTCAATTTATATATATATATATATATATATATATATATATATATATATATATATATATATATAGATGAGAGAGAGAGAGAGAGAGAGATTCGGCAAGTTTTCAACTACCGTATACGTTATTCAGTAGGTGGAACAAATGTAACACTTAATTGTTTGAAAAGAAATCAGAGGCAGTCACCATCTCGAAGGAGTAGGTATGACTTTTAAACAGTGTTGCTATATTTTTGTTACATCTTTCCTTCTAAAATTTTAGTCCAATGCATGAGTCTAAAATAATATTTAAATCCACTACAGTTCATTGTAGAATAAAAATTAATATTGTCCCAAAAAAATCAAAGAAAGTAGCCACGTAATTGTTATTTTCTAATCGATTCCATCAATTAGTTAACAAAGAACATTGATTTAAGGAATTTATGTGTGGCAACAACGCATTATTCCCCTGATGAGTTGAAAAATTTTAAGCAACGCCTTTTTTCACTGTGCGAAGCGTATACACCGATACATCCCGGACGGCATTCGGTAATTATCGGCCACTGATTGAGAGTGTAGATCTTTGCATAAAATTATTTCTTCGCCAACTTTCCATCGGTAAACCTTAAGAAAAACTCGAACACTTATATTCGAGTTTTAAATGTAAATTTTTTTAGATTTTTAGCTGTGGTAGCTGGGAAATAAAACAATAATTAACTTAAGAAACATTCTTCTTCTTACGGTGCCTTATCCCTAAAGACGTTGGCCATTACATTTGCCCATTTAATCTTATTTGTAGCAGCCCTGAATAGTTCTATGGAGGTCATGTTCGTCCATTGCCGTAGGTTTTTAAGCCAAGAGTTGCGTCTTCATCCTGTCCTCTTTTGCTATTGACTTTGCCTTCGATTATAAGTTGGAGCAGTTCATACTTTTGATTTTTTATGATGTGACCAAAATATTGTGTTTTTCCGTTCTTTTATTATAAGCATAAGCTCTCTTTCCTTATTCATTCTCCGCAAGACTTCCGCATTTGTCATATGGCTCATGTAGGATATTCTGAGCATTTTACGGTAACACCAGATTCGGATGCTTGGATTCGTTTTTGTGTTGCTTCTGTCATTGTCCAGGCTTCAACACCATAGACCAAGGTGGAGAAAACATAGCACTTAAGTATTAACAAACATTAACTAAATATAAATATTATTTTTATAAAAAAAACAACTAAAAAAATTATTCTAAATAATTAATAATAAAGGCATTTTAAAAAATCTCTAACCAATTAACTGTTCAAAAAAACCACCATTTTGCGCTAAACAAAATCCTAATCTATCAATTAAAGAAAGTCTCATTGCATTTAGCTGATTTGGTTGTACTTGACTACAAAGTTTGAACAATTTTTTCTTCCAATTCTGCTAAATTGGTAACTCGTTCGAATTCATGCCGATATAATTTTGATTTTGGCATTCCCCAGAAATAAAAATCCAAAGGTGTTAAATCTGGTGATCTAGGGGTCCATTTTATTGTTCCTCGTGTAGAAATTAATCGTCCAGGAAATATTTGTTCCAAATAATTTGTAACTCCGATTGCATTATGTGCTGGGCAACCATCCTGTTGAAACCAAACATTATCGAAGTTGACCGCAAGGTTTCGAACTGCTGGAATAATGTGATTGCGTAATAAATCTAGATTCTTCGTCCATTCAGATTTCCCGTAATAAAAAATGGACCCATTATATTATCGTCAGTGCCAGTCCACACAATTAGTTTCTTTGGGTATTGTGTTTTCACATCAATACCCAAATGTTTATTTTCCTTAGACCAATAGCGGACGGCAGATGGATTATGACGTTTATGAATTGTGAATGAAGATTCATCGGAAAACAAAACTTTAAAGTGTTCCATTTCTCTCTAAAAACTTATTGTTCTCATTCGATTTCTCCATCAAAGTTTCACAAAATTCCATACGTTTAAAATGATCGCCTGGAAAAAGTTCTTGGGTGGTTTGCACTTTATAGCAATTGTATCTATTTCTTTTTAAAATATTCCTTACAGTTCTCTCCTTTAAGTAAACTTCATCCGCAATTTGTCTACTCGAACAAGACGTTTCTTCAGCAGTTAAACAAACTTGCATTTCACGAGCCTCGCATTCAAGAGAGATTTGTTTCGATCGTGGTTGATCTAGGGATGGCGGTTTTTGACAAAACACCGGTTTTCGGTTATACCGGTTTTTTTGGTTACGGTTTAACCTGGCGGTTATAACCAGCCAAAAAAAGGTTTTTCAAAAACCGGTTTTCGATTTTTTTAATCCAATAGGTTACAAAGTTATATTTACAATGCACTTAAGTTTGGGATACTTCATTCGACTCAATAATACTCGTAAATATTATGCTTGCAAATACTTTTTCAACGAAAAATTATAATAAAACTTAATTGTTTCTGGCTGATGTGAGTTTGCACTTTCAGTTTGCTTCTGTATTTATAAAATAAAATAAAATTTGAATTATGGTTTTGTTTGGAATAATTACTTGAGAATAATAATTATGATTGGGCTCCAACATAATACCTAACCTATTCCTAATCACCGTAAAAACCTAATAACCGGTTTTTACTTTAAAAAAAAAAGGTTATAACCGGGACAAAAAACAACCGATAAAACCGGTTATTACGAATTAAAAAATCTGTTTTCGGTTAAAATCGGTAGGTTTTTCCATCCCTAGGTTGATGCCTTGGACGACATTTCGTACAGGTATTTATGCAACCGAAATTTTCCAAGTTTAATTGATCGTACTATTTTCTCTGATGATTTTCAAAAGCAGCAATAAATAACTGTATTATTTCTACAATAGAATGGTTCCCATAATATCATTTCACCATTTGAATCTTTTCTTCATGAAATATACGCTTGGCATGTTAATTATTTGTTTTCAACCTTTTACCACAACAGCTAAAAATCAAAGAAATAGACCTTACCTTATTGACCTTAAACTTGCTGTACCGATAAGCACCGACTATTCTTTTGAGGGGAAATCGTAAAGAGGGCAAACCGTTTATACTATTTGTCTGTCTACTGAAGTGCGTTATTTATTTAGCTCACGCTGTTGTCGCATATCAATTTTTCAATTCAGTGTTCTTTGTTAATTAATCAAGTAATGATATAATCGTTTAAAAAATAACAGTTACATGATTACTTCATGTAAGTTTTGTTAGGGAAATATAAATTTTCATTCTACAATGAACTATAGTGGATTTAAACAAACATTATGTTACACTCATGTATCCGATTAATATTTTAGAAGGAATTATGTAACAGAAATTTTGCAACACTGTTTAAAAATTAGACTCGCTACTCCAACATGCGTGGATTGTGTCTCACTCGTATTCAAACAATCAAGTGTTATTTTGTTCCACATACTGAATAACGTATAAGGATAACTTAAAACTTGCCGAATCGGTATACATTTATATATTATAGAGTAATTCTTACCTTGTGAAGAAGAAGGCAAGTTTGGATCAAACCGATTATTGTCGATGTCTCTTATATTATTTCTTGAAAAATATTCACTCTTGTTATTATCTGCCATAAACGGTTGGTATTTTTCAAATTGATGACCTAACTTCATTTCTGTTGTCCTATAATTGCCTCCATCGGTTCCTATACCTAAAATATTTCATTATTATCATTGCTAATTTACCAGAATATGCCAACTATTACCAGAAAAATATTGATGCTGTTCATTCTTGTTATATGTATTCTCAGTAATACCTGTAAGGTTGCGCTCTGTAAATCGCTTCTGTTGATTAGTATTCAATCTTTGCTGGGATATATCCGGATCATATCTAAACTCCCTTAATTTTGTTTGAACATTGCAACCAGATTCTTGCGATAGCAAATTCATTGCGTCATGGTCTTGGGTTAAATTTTTAGTTGTTTCCAATTCTTGAGACGGTTTTATATCTCTGTTAACGTTTTGAATTGCACCGATTGGAACAGAAGGAACAAGTTTACTTCTCTATTTAAAATAATTTTAAAAATTAAATAATGTTATTAAATAAAAAAGTAAAATCAAAATTCCTACTAGAATATTATAATACTAATAATGTTAGAATTAGTCAAATAAAATTAAAAAGTATAATTTTATTTACTTTGTAATGAAAAACTATACTACATGTATATTTCATATGTATATAAATCATACGCCGCATAACTAAACCTTTTTTGGATGGTACTAGAAAGGTCACCAATGAAGACACTGCGAACGGCAGCTAGATGGTTAGTGGAGACCGAATCGGGGGATTTGAACTAGCTTTTGGAACCGGAAATGGATCCAACAGAAGAAATAATAAAGATAAGACAAGATAAGATAGATTAGAAAAGACAGAGAAATGGATAACAAGAGAGATAGGTAAAATTACCAAAGATAAGAGAAGATAAGAAAAAGGGGACCACTTAATTTTTTGGGGTTTAAGGGGAAAATTAAAAAACCTTAGAAACGAAAAGAGATAAGGAGAGATAATTAGGTTCTGGGACCAAATACAAGAAAAGATATTCGTCCACCTACTTCTACAAACATATACCTAATCTTTATCCTGGTCGAAGATATCGTGATAGTTAAATATTTTTATTAGCAAATATTTAGAGGTACTCTATTATCAGGAAACTTATTAAGAATAGATAAATAAAATTCAGTAGGTAAACAAAACAAAATATATTCAATAACTGAATCACCAGATGGGTGAATTCCAAAAACAAGAAATACAAATAAATCTATCGAACATGTAAAAAATGCAAAATTTCAATATAATAGACATAGATACATGCACATATCAATTAAATATAACATTAAAGAGAACTCGATGTTTTAAAGAAATATAAAAAAAGTACATAGATCATAATAATGTTTCAGGATTATCTCGAGATAATTGGCTTTAAAAGTAATAATTTATAGCAAGTAAAAATAATACTAAATTAATTTACAATAAAGTTGCAGAAGTACAGAGACAATATTATAAAAATCGGTTTTACCAAAAATTAAAATAAGGACCAACCCACAAAGTTAATGAAAGTGCAATTGAAGAAATCGTTACTCCTAGAGGAATTGATTACACCGTTAGTTAGCTTTAACCACCGATCAGGAAAATGTTGTCGAAAATAGCCCGTAGATTACCTACTCTACTTTGAAGATAATTGGAGCTAATATTAATAGTAATACCACTTACAGTAACTATAGATGATGTTGCCTCTTAAATCGAACTGATACAACTTGATAAAAATAGAAGTGTTTATATACACTTATAGATAAATTCCCAGAGAAAGAAATACGTCACGTCCAAATTCTTAGACGACGCAACCAAAAGTCAGTCTAATCTCTTAGACTACCCAACGAAGTGATCCTATTACCAGAGAACTACGAACGACTGTGGTCGTTAGTTTTCTGCATAGAGAAACTTTATTTCCCTATGGTTTTCTGCTCTTACTATTCCCTAGAACTTAAAGAATTCCTCACTTCCCTAGAAACTTCCTCACTTTAAGAATCTCCCTCTTAACAAGAGCCGACTTATTTTCATTTTTGGCGGAAACATATAAACATAACGGTATTTTTAAAAAGGTAAGCAAAAAGGCAAATAACTGTACTATATAAAGGGAAAGATTATATTAAAGCTATTTGTAAGAAGTTTAACAAATTTTATTACTCTCTTCCTAGCGCTATAAAAAAAGGCCTAAATGTTCTTGGTTCCCCAAAAATGACGATTGCTGTCAAATTTCTAACAAAGCAGCCATCAAGTAATCTGCATATTTTTGTACTTATTTTAAGAAATAAAAAAGCTGGAAGATATCGAAGAATTAGGTCTATAAAGATACAAAATCTAAAGTACCGTTACATTCTCATAAAGGACTATATCGGGACCTCTCATTCGTTTCGGTGAGGTGCAATAGTTTCGAATGAATTTTGGATACGGCCATTGGCGTAGCTGCGGTAATTGCAAAAGGTTTTTAAAATTAATCTTAAAGTAATATATAATAATTAGTTACTAATCTACTTATAAAAAGTGTTAAAACTTCAGAACGACTGTACCAGATTAGATCATTCTTTTTGTTGTGTTTGTTATTATCAGGACAAGATTTATGTAAAAGATAATTTATTTTTTAAAAATTGTATGGAAAGACGTAAAAAACAGTTTTTTGTTTTCCGTCATTTTAAATCGCAATGTTACTAATAGATTGCGCCTAGTGGTGGGCCAACCTGCGATTTTTGTGTAGCTGTGACAAAATGTGACTGCTCCAGTATTGTCACGGTGACAAAAAGCAGTGATTTTTTGGAGCATGTTTAATCTTAACTGCTACCCTGCTACTATTGCTACCTTTGAATATTCTAAAATATATTTTATTTTATCTTATTTTTTAAGAAGCTTGTTGTTTTTGTTAGGTTCTTCAAATAATATTTGGAAATGTGTTAAAATACTTTATGTTATATTAGGCGTAATCTCAAAGACATGTTACAATTTACAATTATATAAGGAAAAAAAGAAAAAGGACATGACCATGACTTGACTTATCTAATGACAATTAAATGACATGACAACCTTCTGTCATTCATGCCAACAGAACATTTCAAAGGTTTGCTCCTAAATTCCGTGTATTCTAACAGTTTTCTGTATTTTTTGTTTATTATATAGGTTTGTATTATAAAAGTATTATATGTAGTCAGTAGGTTCTTTATCATTATTAGTTTCTGGTATTTTTATGTTAAAACAAAACAAAAATTTATTTATAATTATATGTTATACTTTACTTTATTATAAATCTTTACTATAAAATATTATTATAGACTTTATTATAAAACTTTACTATAGTACTTTATTTAAAAAAATTATTTAGGCAATATTTTTTGTACTGCTTTGTTTTTTGGACCACTGTTTTATTTTATGTTTGGTTATTGTGATTTTCCCTTTAAAAGTTTAAGAAATAAGTAGATATATTGATTTTATTTTATTCAATTCTTATGTTTTTACCTTATGATAATGTAATATGACTTAGAAAATAACTTGTTAAGGATTTTTAACGGTGCTATTTTCCCACGCTCGACCACGTCGTTCCTTATGTTACAAATAGCAAATAATAGTCACAGTCACCATATGAGAGCAACTGCTCCATTTTGAAAATGCTCCGTCAACAAGGCTTGTCACTGTCGCAACGTCTATGTAGCATACACTGGACCGAAGTGGTGCAGTCACAGTAGAATAAAACGTGACTGAATGTCACTGCTATATTATTCCAGCTGTAGCGGACTGTGTCTGTGGACAGCGTTGTAGCAGTGACAAAGTAGCAGTTCGCGAAATCGCAACCCACCACTACGCCAAACTATGATTTACAAAGGAATCAAAATAAATGTCAGTATTGATAGATTGACATAACAACATAGTTGTGTTTAGTATTACGGTTCCAAATAATAACGATTAAGTTTCAACATATCAGATAAGAAGATATGTCAATGAGACGGCTTAAATAATCTCTTCATTTTCCATACGTAGAGGTTATCGCCCTGTATTTAATTTAGCGTTCACCTGGTGAATGTACAACGACTTTATTTCAAGAGAGAAAAAGCAACGCATAGAGCTGAACAACCACCAACAAGAACGATAACAAGTTACCTTTTGTTAAAGGGAAGCTTGACAACATATATATACATATATATATAGTATATATATATATATATATATATATATAATATATATATATATATAATATATATATATTGTAAGGTAGATTTTTAAGTTCAGTGATAAGTGACAAAGTGTTTAATAAAATTAAATTAATTAATTAATTAATTAATTAATCGTTTGGGATGAATGTACATTGGCCCAAAACAGGTCATTACAAACACTGGACAGAACTTTAAAAGATATTTGTTAAAATTAAAAACATTTTTGTTGGAGCCATGATTCTATTTTCAGACTGTTCCTTATTATATTAAGTTTCTATTAATAATATCCCGATTCCCATCACATCAATTGTCCAATACTTGGGATTGCTTCTGAATCAAAAACTCACTTGGAAAACGCACATTAAAACTAAACAGAAATAACTAGATCCTAAATTAAACATTATGAATTGGCTATTTAACAAAAGGGCTCAGGTATCTCTTGAAAATAAACTGCTTCTTTACAAAGCTATACTCATACCAGTTTGGGCATATGGAATAGAACTATGGGACTGCAGAAGACCTTCAAATAAAAAGATACTTCAAATATTCCAATTCAAAATACTCCATATAATACGTAAAGCTTCATGGTATGTATCTAACCAAACACTTTACAATTATCTCGACATCACATTACTTAAGGACATAATAAAGAATCACTCAATAAAATATAAAAATCACACCATTGACTACAACTATGAACTGATAAATAATTAATTCACCCAACAACTTGCCGAAAGAAGACTGAAGAAAGTATAGCCAGAACTGGTTTCATTAATCTAAGGGCCAGAAGACCTACCGCACTAATACTTAGAAAACGATCACTAGACGGTACCTAACTCACGTTAATTTACTAACAGACTATTTACTTATTACTCTGTGTAAACATGCAATGTAACAATAAAAAAATTGAACTTTGGGACATTATTCAGAACGCTTCAGAGCTTCAGAATGTAGAGGGTAGAATAACTTTTAAATAATTTTAAACTATTTGTCCTTGTTTTAGTATAGTGTTATGTAGAATTTATAAATTTCATGTTTATTACAATCTGCGCTTGTTGAATAGCCCAAATTTGACGAAATGCCCCTGATGATGCTGTAAAAGCGAAAGTGCTTGGGCAAGATTTGATTATTAAATTTGTGCTCGATATTTGCCTTAATTTTTCAAAGTTCATTTATTCGAGCATTTCAACCGTATATCAATTAATAATTATGTTCTGCCTAACACTTGATCTTGGATTAATTGGATACAAACTGTATTTTTTACGGTTAAATTTTTCTTTGCACAGTATATATATATATTATATATA